AACTCAGGAAGGGAAGAATGTAAAGCATGTAGCATGTTGGCCAGTTCAATTGGATTTACAGCCCCTCTGGACTGCCAAAACAGTGCTAAGCAAGTGAAGAGTTACACTGCTGCCTACACCTCCCTCTGCTCCCTTTCCCTCCTCTACTTAACTTTGCACGTGACTTCCTCCCCATACACAGCCCATGGCCCTATGATTGCACATGCCCTTATTTTTCATTGTTTTCCTCCAATTCCTACTTGTTTCATCATGAAAGATATTTTCTGCAATTATTTTTTATATGAAGAAATACTTAGCAGTATTCAGACTGCAATAACATGCAAAAGCAGATTTTTTTTATCTTTAGAAAAATAAATCGGGGAATATTGTTACAGCTTGGGACTTCAAAAATTTGCTCTTATTTGCAAGATAGCCAAGATCACAAGTACTTAGTTTTCACAAATTAGACTAGAAATGGCTGGTGTGATCATCTACAGACCAACTAAAAAACTACATGTAGAAAATAGTTCCTGAACATCCTAGTTCTTAGCACTTGCACTTCATGAGCTCAGTGCTTTCTCAGGCTTTTCACTCATGAAAAACTGCAACATGTAAAAGCTTGCTTATATCTAAACCTGCATGTTTTAGGGATCAAAAAGGCCTGGAATAGTCTGGTGCAGTACAAATGCACTTTCTAAAAGAAAGAATCAAGTATGCCAAGAATGGGAACATTATGGAAGAGACCTGGACATAATCATGCAAAAGATCCAGAAAGACAAAGAAATCCTGACTACAATTTAGACCTGACAAAACTAGTTAAGTAGAACATTTTGCCTGGGATTTGGGAAATTAAGATTTTGTTCCATTTTAAGTTTGACTGTTTTCAGATTCGTACCTGTCTGCTCTGCAGTTTCCTAATCTAAACTAAAACTTTGATCTTCTGCCTGCCTTAGAGTTTTGGTGCAGCTTTAATAAGGAGCAACATACTGAGATTTTCTCACCTACAGTTCTATGGAAAGGACAGTCTTCTGGAACATGGGACATGGGAGGAATGGTTTGAACAAACCCATTGCCTAAGTGTAAGCAAACCTGTTGGATGAAGCAGGAACACCATTCTGCTTGCTGGGACTCAACACGGACAGTAAACACTATTTGTTTCTTGAAAGAGCACACGGGTCCCAGTTTTAGGAGAGAGCTGCCAGATCTGGATTTTAAACAGACAGAAGCAGCAAAGCACATAGAGGCCCCATATGAAGTCCTACCATCTCTCTCCTGAGCAATGTTTACGCTGAGGTTTAGGTGTTTCACCCCTTAGTGCATTATGCTTGGACTTTGTAGTCCAAGTTCCCCTACGAATCATGTAACACTGAATAACCATTCTGAATGTCACTCTGGGGGGCCACACACCTTAAAACAAGGCTCTAACTTGTATCTCTCAAGTGCCTGAATGGCCTGCATTTAGTAACTTCTGCTGAGCAAGAGCCACCAGGACTGCCCTCAACAAATCTCTTAGAAATATAGCATATATTTCAAAGAATGAAAAATCCAAAACTTCTATTTAGAAATGACCACTAACAAAGAACCAGGCACACCACTGGTTAAATGTTCCAGTGTCTAATTATGTTCCATTAAAATTGTTTGCTTAAAGCCCAACATTTATCTGGATTCAATTTCGAGACATTTCATCCTATTATAGCTTTGTTAGATCAAAGAATTCTCTATTATCAAACTACTTTTCTTCATGAAGGCAATTATAGGTAGATACTCATTTTGTAACCATGTCTGCCTTTAAAGTAAGGGCTGTGAGTATTACAAGGCATGTGCTTGATTTTTGGCACAAGAACTGGATACTGCATTTGGCACCAGTGTAAGCACTACTGGAACAAAAGTAGTATTGCCTCCCCCATACCATTTGATATTCCCTTTTTAATGCATCCAAGAATTGCATTTGGCCAAGTAGGGGCTTATGTTCAGCTGACTATCCATCATGTCTCCGAACTTTCTCTCGAAACACTGATCCTTGGGATGGGCTCCCATTCCATTTCCAGATGTATGACTTTACACTTGGTGATAGTGAAACAGGCTGTATGAGCTGGACACCAGCAAAGAAAGGCACATCAATTAACTGAAAAGCGTATAAACCTTAGCATGCCTGAAAATTTTGTGAGTTGTTAGCATTTCAGTCTCCTGTTGCTCCTCCAATAGCTATTAGGTAAAGCTTCTGGCTTCAGTTCTGAGGAACTAACAGGAAGATGTTGGTCATTCTGAAAGGGGAGAGGAGTTCACAGAAATTTTATTTCAGAACGTGTCAGCAGCTGGCAGTTATGGACAGTGAACGAGTAACAACATGTTTCCAAGAACCTGAACTTTATCATAAAACATTGACAAAGGATCTGAATTATTTTTTGTTTAGGGATTGTCATTGTCTGCTACATTTTAAACTTAAATTGCCTCATAAATGCTCCAAAATGCATGCATTAAGTAGACTGTGCCACATTTCTAGTGCAAATTCTGACCTCAGCTATCAGATTATGAGCTGTTTCTGTAAACACCTACTATGGGACATGCTGAAAAGCAACACCAAAAATCCTGAAAGCTATCCTATTAAAGGCGACCAATTACACCAAATTACTGCCTCAAACGCAGCTACACTTAAGTATTAGTTTCCACACTATGTACTAACATTTTGCAGCTGTTACCTGAAAGAGGATTTCAGAGACAGGCAAGAAAAATGAGCTGCTTAAGTACCATGAAAACCAAATTAACTTTCTCCTCACTAATGCTTTGCAATGTACTCCTTTAAACAAAATCTGGGACCTATAGGGCACTCTTATCAGACAAGCAAGGTTCTACAGAACCGATTAACTTAATGAGCTAATATTTTATGCTCTCTACCTATCACACAATGTCTGTGATCCATTTGTATGGCTTTTTTATGTTCACAAAATGCTTGTCTGTTAAGATACTAGAACATGTGTGAGTCAGAGGAAAATAAGTGAAAATGGTGTGGAGAAGTAGTGAACACACTTCCAACTGTAACAAATGAACAGGGATACCAAGGTCAACGACTTTCTTTGGGTACAGCTCCCCCAACATGCAAAATTCATTGCTCGTTGGTGCAATTCTGAACTGAAGTAACCCTGTACTCTTACAAAATCAATTCTATTAATCATGCAAAGTGATTATTCTAATTTTCACTGTAACATTTTTCCCCTTCATCCAGCAACTTTACAAAAATGCTTTTCTTCCTTGTAAAATAGCTTATCACTCACTTTATGAAGATGCCTAATGAAATACTTTTATGGTTTCAAACTCATTCACACATTAAACCTCTTTCAAGCATGTAGTCCTATTACTTGCACTGAATAGCTGTGAGGAAATGCTCATTTTTTCTGATTTAGTGCACTTAGCTTAAATGGACCAAGGTGTTGGTACTTTTGTATTTAGGCACAAGCAGCTGTGTTACTACATTCTGGAGCTTGGCTCAGTATAGGGGAATTTTTAGTTCTGGTTTTAGAACTCTGTTGTTCAAGTAGCTGGAAACACCCAGTGACTGACACTCAGCTCTTTTGCCAGTGTCCAAACACATTCACAAATAAAAGCACTCAACTATTTTTAGTTAAGCTGCCATCATAAATTTCCATGTTATTTAAAAACTAGCTTCTGAGAAACTTTAATAAGCTAGAACTGTTGTTAAGTTTTATTTAAATTGAAGTGCAGAACTAGGCTCTTGCAGAAATTGTTATTAAAATCAATGACAGTGAATTTTATAAGGAGAGCCTTCACTGGCACTTTTAATACAGCTTGCCTGTACCTGATCTGAAAAAAACCCAAGTATTTCAGTCAGAGTAGACACAACTTGTTGATCTGTTGCACCAAATGCCTCAGCAAGCTAAGACTCCTCCAGTAAAGTGCTTGCAAGATGAGGAATCAGGCTGAATGCCGAGTTACATGTTTTACCAGTCTCTGGCTTTCTAATCAGTTCTCTGCTACACCTACACATTTATCAGCAACTGTTCATATCCTCATGAATACTGTGCTCTTCTACTTTATAGTACCTGCAGTCTAACACTGCAAACAAATTATGTCATTAAACTGAGTGATTACATTTAATGTGGAAAAAAGTACTATTTTGTTAAGTACTTTATACTTCCTTGGCAAAAATTACCTGAAGATGTTCGAAGTTTGAATTATCCAGCTCAGAGGTTCCCAGCACTGGAAGGACATCAACTGACTGCAGAAAGTCCAGAGGAGGGTCATGAGGAAGATTAGGGGGGATGGAGCACCTCACCCATAAGGAAAGGCTAAAAGAACCAGAATTATTCAGCCTGGACAAGAGAAGATTTCAAGGTGACCTGACTGTTGCCTTCCAGTACCCGAAGGGAGCCTACAATAAGCCTTATTTACCTGGGTATGCAGGGACAGGACAAGGGGCAATGACTTCAAATTGAGAGTAGATTTTAGTAGATTTTAGGAAGAAATTATTTACTGTGAGGATGGTGAGGCACTGGAATAGGTTGCTCAGAGAAGCTGTGGATGCCCCATTCCTGGAAGTGCTCAAGGCCAGGTTGGATGGAGCTCTGAACAACCTGGTTTAGTGAATGATGTTCATGGCAGGGGCATGGAAACTAGATCTTATAGAAAATAGAACTTGAAAATCCCTTCCAACACAGGCCACTCTATGATTCTCTGATCTTAAGATGTTAAGAACAGATTTACATTTGCTTTCTTTACATAAAAAGATTTTCACATAGCTTTCTGGTGCACTACAACTAAGCAGGAACCCTGCCCACTCAACAACAGCACACAGCTCAGTTTGTGATTTATTGTTGCAACAAAAAACCTCATCTACTACCTGCAAAATGCTTCCAAGTTTTCTTCCTCCAAATTAATGTTAAGCAGTATCTACATACTGCTAATTCAAACTATGGTTCTTTGAAACACATGACTCCAAACTGAATCTCACAAATGTTGCCACTTCAGAAGAAGATCACAAAAAGACACCAATCAAGACAACAGACTGTTTTGTGCAAGATTGTTTTATTAACAGACCAGACTTCGAAATATTGCAGCTGGGCATCTTTACCTGTAAGGCAAAGAAGAAAAAGGTATAATTAGGCACATGTAGATCTCAAACATGAAAGTGTAATACATTTTTACAGTTTGTAATTTTGGCTAAAAACACTCCTTTTGTTTCACTGGATTTCAGACTGCAGTAGTCTCACACACGGTAACTAATTTCTACATTAACATCTCTTCACTGCAAACTGAAATTTTGAGTACCAAACCTAACAGGATGAACATTTCCACCTTGAACCACTGATACCTATACTTGATATTTAAAGACATGCCAAGATATTGTGCAATTCTAACTTTTGCTGCACTCTCATTTTTGGCACATTTCAGAGACTGTTTACATGCAAAAATGAAAGCAGAAAAGCTGACTTGAGTCCAGTTCCTGTAAAGTTTGCTTGAAAAATTGATGAAATTCAGTATGTTGCCAATACTTATGTTGCTTTCAAGCAACATACAGCAAATATGCTGCTTTCAAGTACTATGCTCTTTCCTCCCAGTCTATACAAAGGAATCAGTACTGGAAGTCTATTTTTTCATTCACTTGAGAATATAATTTAAGAAGTAAGTGACAAATAGAATAAGAAATAAAGACAAACAGCAGGAAACAATCTACTTATAGGAAAGAGGAATACTCTTCTTCAGATACACAGCCCTTCATAATGACATTACCTGGAGAAAGTACTGCCTGTGTGTCACCTGAACCTACTACTCTAGTTTGCCCACAGCCTCAGTAGGAACTACAACATTCTTCTTTCTACATGTAGGCTACCTGAATTTTAAACATGCACTCTATTCACAACAGCAGGAAAGGAAAGTTGAGGAGACAAGAACAAGCAGTTATCTTAGATTTAGTCTGCAGGAAAGGCATAACAACTGCTTATAAGCATAAAATAAGAAACTGCAAGGTCACTTCCTAAATTAAAGATGAAGTAAAGCTCTAATGTATGCCACTTATATGGCATTGCTGAGCAAGTCCAGTGAAAAACATGAATGAATATCCCCTGTTTCTCTGCCAAAACACCAACCCTTCACAGGCACTTACAACAACTGCAATAGTGAGCTAGAAGCTTCCCATCTCTAGGAATGCTCCTGAAAACAACACTACCAGTGTAGATCTGCCTTTCCTTTAGCAGGGAAGATAGAGCAGAAAGGATCTACACTAAAGAAAAGCTGCAGTGTTTCCATGAAAAACAGCATCATGCTCAGAAACCAGACAGGAGCACACAGTCCTCCTCAGCCTTGCTTATGCACTAACTTCAAGGACACATTTGACAGTACTGAAGTTTCTGCCACCAGCAGCAAAATTTCTACAAGAATGGTAGTGGGAGTACCTTAACATCATCCCAGGCACCAAACATTACAGCAATTCTGCTCCTCAGAGCTACCAACATCCTCCTATAGTTGAGCTAAAAAGCTTTGCAAGAACACTGTCCCCAGTAAGGAACTATTTCCTGAAGCTGGAATTTCCACATGCCATGTAAACAGTGCTTTAAAACTCTGACTTCACAGATGGGAGATAACAGCACAACATGCAAGGAGCTTGAACTGAGGAAATCAGCAGCCTACAAAAAACGCTTCAAGAATTAACGCTGTCAATCAAATGGAAAGTATTTCCTAGATCTCCTTTAGCTCTTTAGAGAGAAAGCAGAGCCCAATGAGCTCAATTTGTTGGGCCTTGGCTATAAGAGTATTTTTAAAAGACTGGAGGGAAAAAAACACCTAAAGTAGCAAAACAAAACATAAAACTTCTTTCCCCTCAGAAACTTTAATTTCCAAATTTCAAAAAATTCAATTTCTGAATCATCCAAATGGAACTGTACCTATTTTAAATTGTAAAGTCACAACACTACTCATTTTTATGTAACAATCCTCTGAAGCTATAAATTCATCTGAAAATTGTGTATCTAATCTAAAAGAAAAAACAGAATCTCACAAAAAACAGTCAAACAAAAGCCCTACACCAAACAAATCCCAACAAGCCAAACAAAAACAACCCCATTTTGACTCTAGAGGAATTAGTTTGGGGAAAATTAGGTTTTTGTTTGACATCCTTTCCAAACACCCTAAGACAATGAAGTTTTCCTTAATTCCAGCATACCTGTCAAACCAAAAAGATATTTGACTGAAACCAAGATATGGGCAACACTGAAGGTAGTTTAGTGTCTAAAAAGCAAAGCGAAGTACAAGAACTCTGAAAAATGTGTTGGCTTTGAATGGTACAGACTTCTCACCAAAGCAGGAACAGCAGAGTGACAACAATAGATAAGACATTGTTTAGAGTAGGTCCTACATTTAGGACTCAGCAGTCACTGTTAAATCACTTCAAGTGCTAGCAGACCTTCTCATTTCTAAAGGACAGACTACTCAAATGGGCAAATCAGTCTTTCAAAATTACCAACTTGGCCACTATACATGAAAGCTTTAAATGAATCATTCAGAAGCTTGAACAAGCTGAAAATTTAGACCAGTCTTAATCAGGCTCTTCTAGAAAACCTGAAAAAAAATGGTACTTGCAATCACAAGATTTCAATCATATTAACAAGTTTTTAATGAAGCTTAAAAGTTTCAGCCAGGATCTCAAGGCTTCCCAACATAAAATAAGGCTTTAAAACAAGTTATTGGTAATGTTTGTATCTCCTAAACATATCAGTGACACTGACAATTTAACTTCCTAAATGTTTAAGCTTTAGTAAGACTTCCAAAATAAATCCAGAACGCCATATTGTTCAAGTAGCTTTGTACTGTAGGTACCACCCAAGAATGAATGAGCATCTATTAAACTTGAATGTCTGACAAATGACAGCAGCCTGCAGAGCTGAACACCAGACAGCCTTGGGCAGTATCTCACCATTAGTTCATTCTCCTTATGAGTCTGTTGATCTGGTCTTCTCTGTTACCAGCATCCCCACCTTCCACAAAGTGGATTGTTTTCTTCTTCATTCCACCCCGAGGAGAGGATAACTTGAAGGGCCAAAGGAAGTTGTTCACAACTTTGAAGTTCTTGCCAACAGTGTAAATTTCATGGATCACATCTTCCATGCAGATGATGCCAAGCTTTCCTAAAATTCAGACACAGTTTTCAGAAAGACTTCAGAGGCACTGGTCAGTAACAAACTAAAAATTATCATGTTGTTACTGTCATGCTTACTTATTTTGATAAACTTCAGGAAGTCAGAAAACCACTCACTTTGTCATGAAACTGAATGACTGACTTTTCCAATTAAAATGGATTATCTCCAGCCAAGTAAACATTTAGATGGCATACTTGGCAAGAGGCGTCAGTTTCAACTGTTAAATATTTGCTGTCAGCAGTGAGGAACAACAAAAAACAACCCGCACTTACTGAATCTTACCAAACACTGTTCTTTGGAGAAAAGCTAGATTAAATCCACTGCAATGTTTAACTCAGGGAAATTCACTAGCTATTAGGTTGCTGAATAAATGCTAAAGCATGTTTCCTTAATGCTTTTCCAGAGTCTTCAGCAATATGTTACAACTCTTGTAAAACACAATGCTAAAAAGAGATTACAACAGAATACATGTATCTTTTGGATGCTTATCCCCTGCACAGGAAAAGAAAGAGCCATGACACAGCCTAATCTGAAGGAAAATGCAAATTAACTGCCCAAAAAAGGGAGATACTTGAGTGGTCACTTTCACTCATTCTGGCATGACTGCAAGAGAAGGGAGCTTCCCAGAGCAGCCTGTATCCTAACTGTTCACCATGCTTTGCTTTTACAGAATACACTGATCACTATACTACCTAGTTCTTTCAACAAGTTTAAAAAGTCTGTTTACCAGATCACAAAAGTCAAAGACAAAATGTCTAATATTAAAGTTCAAAGCTATGATGACTCCTTCAGGGTACAGCGGTTTTTCTTTACTCAAAGACCTGCTGACCTCATAAAGGTCAAGGAGGCTACATTTACCATCACAAATTTAAAAGGCTAAAATTTGATTCTTTACGCCTGTTTTCAATACTTTATGATGGAAGTTACTTCCAGCTTGCTTTGCATTAAACAATTAGGACAGAAGTAGAGATCACAACTGAACAGCAGTGCACTGCAGTGAGACTTGGGGACAGCTGCCCAGCCGAGCACTGATCTCCCCGTTTGCCCAGCAGAAGTTACCAAGGCGTTTCTGGATCAGGCAGTTGTCGGTCAGAGCAATGCGCTGCTTGTTGATCTTGCCGTAACCTCGCTTGTAGATCAGCTCATGCACGGACTTCAGGTTGGGGTAACTGAAACAAAACAGTCACATTCAAAAAAGGAATTCTAAGTCTTTGCAAGCCTCATTTCATGGCGGCTTTAACATCCCTGACTTGGACTTCCATACCAAATAACTAAAGATCATTTCAGCATGCCCACATGTAAACACAGAAGCAAATCTCACACCAAGTTCCCAAGAACATCAGTATGAGAGTGCAATCATACCTAGCAGTCGTTACCTTTAAAGCACTGCCTTAACCACATTTTCAATTCCAAGATGGGAAAGCACACAGAAGATTAAAAACCCCTGCAAGTCCAGCATAGCAAAATGCAAAACCCACTCAACACTTGCACTCTGATTAGGTACGACTGGGCCTTGTGCCTTTCACTGACCCCCAGGCAATGTAGGGTTCCACAATCCGCAGCATGTTGATAGAGGCTTTGTTGAGCTTCACGAAGGTGCCGTTGAAGATCTGCCGCAGGCGAAGAAGCTGCAGAACCTTGCGAACCTTCGGGCTGACACCGTTGGTACTGGAGAGCAAAGTGAAACAGCCTGAGTTATCAACATCCCAGAAACACGAGGTATCAGGTTAAAAACAACCCCAAACACAACGGCACTGCGCCCATACAAAAACACAGTTCATGAATTACACAAAGCAAGCTTAGTAAATTAATTTACTATTACAATGTATTTCAGTATGAAGTTAAAACATCCATTTCCATGTAAAGAACTAAGCATTATACTGAAACAATTTAGAACTCGCCTTGCACTGTCATGAACATATTTCTTCCAATCACACTTATTTTTTTAGTTTTCTGTAACACTTTACCAGAGTAGAACAAAACAAACACTTGAGGAACAGCTCGGCAGAATGTTTGGGAATAGGGGCATGTAATTTTATCAAGTTAAAGGTGAGAAAGAATAATTGTCTGCACGTATTTTCAGCCGTGTCTTCTTAAAAATTAGGGATTCCTAAAGACAGCAAAATTATTTAGCCCTTAATTAAACACACCTTAAGGGCATGTACAATATCTACCAGCAACTCCTCAAGCCATTTGTAAAAGGCTTTATCTTATTAATGTATAAAACAGAGAGGTAACAAGAGAGCCACCTTCAATACTCTTGAACATAAAATTGCTTATTTCTGTACCCAAGCTTACCCTCTTATCCTGATCACAAAAGCCAGTTTGGGCTCAGCTGGCACGTAGTAGTTGCCAGCTTTGCGGGCCATCCTGGCCATGCGGATCTCCTGCCTGTACATGTGCCTGTACTCCTTGTGGTAAGCCTGGGCTCTCGCATAGATCAGCTTCCTTTGTGCCTTGCGGTACTGCAACAAATGAGAAATTGTTTAAAGTCAGAAAATGCCTTTGAACACATGAAAATCACCTTCAAGTAACATGCCATACTGCAGAACTGCCACCAGGTTACACAGATCAGTATCACACAGCTCAGAACACCCTCAGTGATGCTGCAGAGAAGCTGGCAGGCTGCTACACAGCAAGCCATGCTATCATTCCTGACTCTCCATCAGCACAGTGGTAATGAAGAGAAATGGGTACAAATTGAAAGCTGGACAATTTAGGTTAGATATAAGGAAGAAATGATGAATTGCAAAGACAGTGAGACACTGAAATGGGTTGCCCGGAGCAGCTGTGGATAGGCCAACCCTAACAGTGCTCAAAGCCAGGCTGGATTGGATCTTTGAGCAACCAGGTCGAGTGGAAGGTGTCTCAGTCCATGGCACAGGGGTTGGAACTAGATGATCTTAAAGCCCCCTTGTAAGCCCCTACAGCTCTAGGATTCTCTGATCACACACCAAGCTCCCCTTACAAAGGCTATAACCCCTGACCCGTACCTTACAGACAGCCGTGCACTTCACCCTTAACTCAGCCCAGAACTTTGTCATCAGCCACTAAAAGCCTCTTTCAGTCCAAAACTTCAAGAAAATATCAACACACTGTGAATTTCTGTACTGCATCACACCAGCAGCAGCAGCAGCAGCTGCTACTGCAGCAGATAAGCAATCTCAGTGAAAGGATCAGAGAATATTCACCTTTTTTATAGCCAAAATCTTCTTCTGACGTTTGGCCTTCATGACCGCATAGGCCTGCCGCTTCTTCAGCAGGCTCTCGGGCACCGAGGGCACCTTCTTTACTCTACATGAGAGCACAAACAAAAGCTTTTAGCTGCTGGAAAGAAACACGGTGACAGTACACGTGACAAACACCAAAACTTTTAAACAGAGCATGTGTGCAGGCCTTGCTACCTTGAGCCACTTCACTGCATCTTCCTCATCCTCACTATTCCCAGGCCTGGAACAGCATCCCAGGACAGCTCCCTGGCACTGAGCAGGGTGATGATCTGGTTCAGAACCTGCACCACCCACATTTTGTGCCAGACAAGAAACCCTGACAGACCCACCAGAGCTGCACACAACCACGAACACACAGACCTGTTCTACTTTGCTACAACTGGTAAGAAAACAAAGACCTTTCAAGGTAACTTCTCTCTGGACAATGAACGTTTTAACAGGTACTTGAGCAGCAAAAGCTTATTTGAAAGTACTGTGAAATTTATTTGACAGGACTCTCAACTTGCTCAGACTATCACAGAGTGGGTGATGCTGGAAGGGACCACAGTGGGTCACCTGGTCCAACCTCCCTGCTCAAGCAGGAACGTCCCAGAGCACATGGCACAGGATTGCACCCGGATGGTTTTGAACACCCCCGGGAGGGAGACTCCACAACCTCTCTGGGCAACCTGTTCCAGTGCATGGTGACTCGTACGGAAGAGAAGCTTCTCCTCAACTTCAGGCAGAGCTTCCTGACATCACCGTGCCCCGTTCCCTCCCGTCCCGGAGATTTAAAAGTCTCAGACACGACAAAACTTGCCAGAACAGCGTTTACAGAGCCACAGCCACCCTGAGGAGCGCCGACACCAGCCCGGCGCACAATCACTCCCTGCTCCCGCCCCAGCACAGCCCTGCTCGCCCGCCCAGCCCGGAGGAACTCGCCGCCCCGGCCCCTATTCCCGGCCGCCACGGCGCTCGGGGCCCACTCTCCCTCCCCACCCCGCCAAGGGCCTGCGGCCGCAGCCGCCGCCCGCGGAAGGCCCGGGCCGGTGGCGGCTCCATCTCCGCCGCGCAGGTCCTTCCCCTGCCACCGCTCCCAGCCCCGGCGGAGGCGCGGCGGCCCCAGGGGCGGTGTGGGCAGGGCTCGGGCGGCGCGGCGGCCGCGGATGGCGGCGGATGGCGGCGCGAGGGACGGGACTCACTCCTTGTCCGCCATGGTCAGCGCCGGAAGAGAGGGGCGTGCGCGTGCGCGGCGCGCTCTTAGCTCATTCGCCCGCTAGACGAGGCCCTGCCCGCCGGCAGGACCCCGAGTTTGGACGTCCACCGTTGTGCCTGACCGCTGTGCGAGCGCTGGGGTGTCCCGGAAGTGCCTGAGGTAAAAGCGGCAGGGAACTGCTTCGGCCCAGCAGGGCTGGAGCCGGCGGTGTCCCGGGATCCGCAGTGTCCCGGGATCGGGCTGTGTCCGGGGATCAACTGTTTTCCGAGCACTGGCAGTGTCCCGGGCACCGGCTACTTCCAGAGTATTGGCTGTGTCCCAGGGTCGGCTGTGTCCTGAACACTGACTGTGTCCCGAGATCCGCTGTGTCCCGAGCACTGTGTCCGAGCACGGGCTGTGTCCCGGGCACCAGCTATGTCCCGAGCACGGGCTGCATCCCGGGATCGGCTGTGTCCCGAGCACGGGCTGTGTCCCAGAACTGTCTGTATCCCGGGATCGGCTGTGTCCCGAGCATGGGCTGTGTCCCAGAACTGGCTGTATCCCGGGATCGGCTACGTCCCGAGCACGGGCTGTATCCCGGGATCGGCTGTGTCCCGGGCCGGGCGGGTCCCGCTCCGCCACCAGAGCCGTCCTTCCCTGAGGAGGCTGAGAGCAGCTCTGTGTGGCGGGGCTGCCAGCGGGCTGCATGCGGCAGGATTTCCCCTATTCCAGCCTTAACCCCTGTCCTTTACGCCACCTCCCGCCCGCGCTCAGTACCGCGGCGGGAATGGAGCTGGGGGGGGAATGCTGCCCGCATTCCCTGAACCGGGACGCACGAGGGAACGGGAACCCCGGGCTGCCTTCCTGCCGGGGTGTGCTTTCATCAGGCTGGGCATCTTTTCGGTTCGCCGTACAGAATCAGTAACTGCACCGTGGAGCACGGAGGGCGGCTCGGGAAGCAGCGCTGCCCGGCACAGCAGCTTGGAAGGCTGCTCAGGGTTGTGGCTCCTAAGTCTCATCCTGTGCGCGCCTAAAATCACCCAGGGAGACACCGGCACATCCTTACACACACACGGGAAGAACAGAAATTAGTGGAACTCTGAGCAGCAAATGACTGTCCGGTGTAAAAAACCGTGTAGACATAAGGAATGCCGAGCTCTGCGTTTAGTGACTTTATTTGTTGCAAATTAAAAGCACGCAGAGGTGTCGCACAGCATTAACGCCCGAGAACATTATTGAGAGTGCTTTGGATCGTAGTTACAGGTGTATCAGTGTTCACTTTTTTACAATAGTGTTATTTTGTGCTAATACAGACGTTTGTATCACTTGATCTCATTAGCAATATTATAAAGAGGGTGAATTAAAATCAGCAAGCCAAACCACCTGCAACATATACTTAAGAGGTTGTCTGCACTTTCTTCTGCAACTTTTTAATCGGAATTTGTGCTCAATCCGGGAGGCAGCGTTGACAAAGTTCCCACAACTTTTCTGAAAACTGGCGGCTACACAGGGGAGAAAGCGCAGCGTCGTGCACTTAAGACACAGGGCTGCAGGCGAGCAGAGGCAGTGGCATGAGTCCTGCACACTCATGTTTGGGAAATCGCAAGGGCACGCTCTGGTCCTCATCCTCTGGATCTGGCGAACGGAGGAGCGGGATGCTCCGGCGCCGAGTGGCCGCAGGGTGCCCAGCTACAGGGAGCGGCCGCTGTTATCGCACCGAAGAAAATACTTTCCGTGTGCTGGCACCTGTGAGCTCCTATTTCAGTCGGTGGCGGGTGCGATATCAGTGACCTCTGTACTTGGCAGACAGACCAAGAAGCCATGAGGGTTTTCCTGAGCGGTTTTTCACAGCTCAGCAGAGGATCCCCAGGCACGCGGGCATCGTGCATCCTGCGGTGCCCCGGTGGTTCCTGTGGGCTTCCAGCTTCCCTGTGTCTCTAGCCCCGAGCACGAACCTTCGGCGCCCGTGCGCGTTCTTCTCA